GAGGAGCTGGTGACGGAGCTGGTGGCTGCTCAGAGCAATCTGTCCTACAAACAGCTCCCACTGCGCCTCTACCAGGTCACCAGGAAGTTTCGGGATGAGCCCAGGCCCCGCTTCGGCTTGCTGCGCAGCCGGGAGTTCTACATGAAGGACATGTACACTTTCGACGTCTCCGAGGCGGCGGCTCGGCACACCTACGACTTGGTGTGTGACGCCTACCGCAGCCTCTTCGACCGCCTGGGCCTTCCCTTCGTCAAAGTGCAGGCAGCCACGGGCACCATCGGCGCACTGTGTCCCACGAGTTCCAGCTCCTGGCAGACATCGGTGAGGACAGGCTGGTGCTCTGCCCTCACGGACACTTTGCGGCCAACGTGGAAACACTAAAAGGGGAACAAACGTCTTGCCCGACGTGTGGGGAAAAACTCACCAAGACCAGAGGGATTGAAGTGGGGCACACGTTTTATCTGGGCACCAAGTACTCCTCCATCTCCAACGCCGTCTTCTACTCCCCTGAGAACAAACCCCAGCTGGCAGAAATGGGCTGCTATGGCCTGGGCGTCACTCGTATCCTGGCGGCCTCCATCGAGGTGCTGTCTACAGAGGACAGCATCTGTTGGCCGAGCCTCATTGCTCCCTACCAGCTCTGCTTCATCCCTCCCAAGAGAGGCAGCAAGGAGGAGGAGGAGGGAGTCGCGCTGCTGGAGCGGGTGTACGACGACCTGGCCGAAGCGCTGCCCCACCTCGCCGGGGACTCGGTGCTGGATGACAGGACACAGCTGACCATCGGCAGAAGGCTAAAGGATGCCAACAAGCTGGGTTATCCCTACGTGGTCATCGCTGGGAAACGGGTTTGTGAGGACCCCCCGGTCTTCGAGGTCTGGAATCAGAACACCAGCGAGGTTTTGTTCCTCACCAAGGAAGGTGTCATTGAGTTGCTGAGTAAAGTGCAAGTCACTTGAACTCACCGTCTCTGAATCTCTCATCTTTGCTGCACTAAGCTAATCTGAACAGCTCTGGTTGCTTTTCAAGGACTCACAGGTTGCTGGTGATGGCTCTGGGTGAGCAGAGCTGAACCCAGCTTACGTCAGAGCTGGCAGCGGTGTCTTGCAACTGTACTGGCTGCTGGGGTTGGGCTGGGTCAGCCTGCGTTCCCCCGCGGGGCTGGGGACCTTTCTCCCTCTGGCTGTGGACCCCCGCAAGCTGGTTTTACTGGCATGTGTGGTCTTGTGCAGCTCTGGGAGCAAGCCAGACAGGCTGGGGGCAGCCTCCTTTTG